CTCCTCACCCTGGTTTATGACATGTGTAAGATGTTTTCCACTCCCCACCTTGGTTTATGACTAACTACTGTCACCTCCCCCTTCGCCCCAATGGTTTGCAGTTTTCTCCTTTAAATACCTGTCACTCCCAAGCCTCACTGTTGATGTTCCCCTTGTGAGCATTGGCCTCAGTCAACTGATACCCCGAAATCCAGAAATAAAGCCTTTTGTGTTTGCATCCAGTTTCGGTGTCTTGCGAGTTGTTAGATGGTCCTGACATCCCGAGACTTGAGTGAGGGCCTCCCCTGAGTGGGGGTCTTCAATATAAGCTGCATAACTATCCAATAGCTTCAAGATTGAAGCATGCACAAAGACAAAGAGGGGAATGAAGAGAAACTTTGGAACACTTGTTCCCCTCCCCCCACCATGGGAGATGCTAATTAGCATTCCTTAGTCAGAGGACACTTACTAGATTAACATTCCCCAAAGACCAATCAGTTTAAAAGTCACACTATTCTGCCAATCATATTGTGCCTAGTCACTGTTTCCCTAGTCCATCCCTTAAACTGTATAAAAAATGACCAAATGGGCTGCCTCTTTTTCCACCTTTGGTGTAGGAAGCCCCAGTGCATTAGATCATTAAAATTCCTCTTGCTTTTTGCATCGATTTATGTCTCCCCGTGGTTCACTTAAGGGGTCTCCTATAAGCTAAGGCTCCCCAAGTGTCTTACAGTGTAATACAAATTCTTGAAAACCAAAAAATAAGAACAGAAGTAAAGCAGAGCTTATCACATGCTGATGAAAACCAGAAAGAACCCCTAGAACTCAAAATGCTTCTTCCAGCAGGGTGCTGTGGCTCATGGACCTAATCTCAGACAGAAGCAGCAGGATCTCTATGAGTTTGTGGCCATCCTAAACTACATAGTGAGCTCCAGAACAGCCAGGAATACAAAAAAAGACCCTGTCTCAAAACAAAAAGACAAAGACTATTTGCCCTCCTTCCTGACCTAGAGCTGGCTCAACTGGAGAGGGAGAAATAAGGAACAAGGCTGAGCAGGTTCATAAGGGTCAGTACTGCTTAGAAAAGGAGCAGGGGGAGACTGAAGACCTGGTATGTCAGATGGAGTCACTTGCTGCAGTGGACAGCCCCAGCCTGGCACAAGCCCCACTGATACACTCAAACACATGCATTGTGCAAATGTGCACACATAAACACACAAAAGCATCTATACTTCCAGATACACATGCTTGTACATGCTCCTGTAGAAACATGAACACATACACTTACAGGTACAAGCTCATGAACAAGTAAACATACACATGTCCATACAGTACACACAGATACAGAGACAGATGTGTACAACATGCACATACTGTTTGGGTTTGCTTCTTGTTGCTGTGGGAAAGAAAGGATTTATTTGACTTGTATGTCTTAGTTACTCTTTGAAGGAAGTCAGTGTAAGACCCAGAGCAATGGTTCTTATGTCTGGGATGTCCCTCTCTAAGGACACAGAGACAGAGATAGATGCAACGTGCAAGAGGTTTATTGATTGATCCAGGGTGCTGGGGCTGTTCTGCAATCAGAGCAGAGGTGACCCCGAAGAACAAAGGCATTCACTTTTTATACTTCTGCAGACTATAGGTTTTAGGTAGCATGAGTTGGTTATCTCTCATTGGTGGGGCCCATTGTTTTTTGCATTCAATGGCAGCCCCTGATGAGGGATACCTTTGGTATGTAGAAGGGGAGGTAAGGGATCTCCCCTCTACCTCGACTAAGTCATTTCGTGGAACAGGGTGATTCTGGAATTCTCTGGCCCTGAGCTCAAAAGAAAGTCTCAGCCACCTGGTAGTTTCTCAAGGGTGGAGAAAGTTCTAACTATCTAATCTAATCTTTACATCAGCACAGGAACAAACAAGCTGTAGCAGATACCAAGGAGGAAAGCTGATTGCTGGCTTGTCTCCTGGCTCACTCCCAGGTCTATTCTCCCATAGTTCTCTTATACAGCCCGAGCAAGTTTCCAGATGCCTAAGGATGGTATCACCCACAAAGGGCTGGCCCTTCCCACATAAATCACCATTGAAGATGATAGCCCCACAGAAATGCCCACAGGCTAATCTAATCTAGGCAATTCTTGCATTCTAATCTTTGCATTCATTCATTGGTGAGGAGATATCTTTGATATGTAGAAGGGGAGGTAAGGGATCCAGCAGCTGAAGCAAATGAGGAGACATATGTTTATACTGGTCCCGACATACACTCCAGCCATTTAAAGTGCACAATTCCGGGAGTCTAGTATATTCCAACATGTATAGACAAGGTGGTTCATGCCTTTAAGCCCAGCGTTCAGGAGGCAGAGGCAGGTGAATCTCTGTGAGTCCCAAGACAGTCTTGTTTATCTTGTGAGTTCCAGGCTTGCAGGGGATACATAAAGAGACCCTGTCTCAAAGTTAAGTTAAATTAAATAAACAAGTGTATAGATAAATAAACGTGTGTGGCTATTGCCCACACCACAGGGGGAAAAATCCACTCCAAAATGATTAAGAGTTTCTCCCTTAGTCGCTGGCAACCACTAACAGATTGACTTTTTTTTTTTAGGATTTCATACAGGATGACTTGCACAGTGACGGGGTGGGTGTGTGGTTCATTGGCTGGTTTGTGTTGGTTTGGTTTAGTTTTGGTCTGGCTTCTTCTGCTTGTGGTCATGTTTTCAGAGTTCATCCACATTCTTCAGTGTATCTTAGAAGTGTATTCATGCCTCCCAGTTGCCATGCAAGCACCCTACTGTGGGTTGGTGACAGAGTGTAGTTATAGGGTGCTTTCTTACCTGGTGTGTGCAGGGCAAATAACTTGGCAAAATACTGTTCACATTTACTATATTTTAAAATCTATGTATGAGTTGATGGACATTCAGGTCACTTAAGAGTTATTTGTTTGACTCTTTCAAATGTTACCATGGAGACTTAGAAAGATGGTTCAGGGGTTAAGAGCACTTGCTGCTCTTACAGAGGACTAGTACTCAGTTTCTGGCACCCACATATGGTGCACTTGCATGCATGCAGATAAAACACTCACACACATAAAATAAACATTTTTTAAATCTCAAGAAAAACTTTAAATACTACCATAAACATTGGTGTACACATTTGATCTGTTTGATCTTCTGTTTGCTTTTTCAACAACACTTCACCATTGATAGCCACAACCCCAGGTTAACCTCTTGCTTTGGATAAGCACATAAAAGTCCAACTGCTAGGTCACCTGGTAACTCTACATTCACCGGTTTCAAAAACTGCCTTTGCATTCTAGAACAGCTCTCCTGTTTTCAGTTTCCTGTCTGCCTGGATCTCGGGGTTTGTTTTTCTACAGTCTTACTACAATTTACTTAGGACAGCCAACCAGCCAAGAGGCCTTTGATACTATCTAGTTTTTTTTTTTTTTCAATTTTGTTCTGTTTTTATAGCACTACTTCATTTTATATTTATTTCTTTATTTTATGCATATGAGTACAGCACTATTGTTCCATTCAGACACACCAAAAGAGGTCATCAGATCCCCTGACAAATGGTTGTGAGTCACCATGTTGTTGCTTGGAAATTAACTCAGGACCTCTGGAAAAGCAACCTGTGCTATAAACCTCTGAGCCATCTATCCAGCCTGATGTTACTTAGTTTTGATTTGCTTTTTCCTGATAACTAAGGACATGCTTCCTGGCAACTGGCACAGTTGTAAACCTCTGGAGAAGTCCATTCTGATCTTTTACTATGGCCCAGGTGTTTAAGAAATAATTAGCACCTCAAAGTTGTAGGAAGCCAGCCCAAAAGAATCTGAAGCTCCCTGTTACCAGGATCTCAGGGGAGATCTAAGTCCAGGTAGGTTCTGGGAAGGAGGGGGAGGCTAGGGCAGGCCACGCCCCGATGTTCCAGGAAGAAAGGCTTCTTAAATACTGCTGACTACACCTTCAAGGTTTCATTTTTGTGTCCTGACACCTCCTGCAGAACTGCCCTTGCTGGTGGCTCCCTTGCTGCTCACGGGTTGAACAAACAAGAGACCCTCCCCGGCACCCCAGAACGAACTTGCTTCCCTTGGTGATCCCAAATACCTCAGTAGAGGTGAAGATCTAGGTGAGCCACCCTGCTACTCGGCCCCTCCCAGAGCCCAGCTGCCCCTACTCTGGTGTGGTCTCTACTCTATGGCCTGGATGCCTGCTTGTTAAGTTGGTGATTCAGTCTTCCAGAAGCCCCACTATACCAGACAGATTGAAGAGACCCTAGCAGCTAGGGCCTAGATGGAGGCCACCCACTACAGAAACAATGGGACCTGCCTGGTTTGTGCTTGATGCTGGCGTGGGGAGGATGCAGGAGAGGGAAATGGTGAGAAGCACAGGGCACACTCTAGGCTTTTTGGCTGAATGATGACTCCCTGTCCCAAAAGTCCCTTCCTGATCCCCAAGGGTCTTCTTGTTTCACTGTCCATCTTTAGTTCTAACCCGGTTTCCTAGGGGTATAACAGTTGCTGTACACTGCACAGGTTGACTACCCCAGGCCTGTTTTGACCTCTGGCCCATGAAGGTTCAAGGAGGTCAGTTAACTCAGCTGTCCATGAGAGCCCTGGAGGAAACCACCGACTCCTGGAACCATGGGACACTGGCTTTTCTGTGGGCTCCTGTGCCAAATCCCTTAGAAGTGAGGGCTCAAGTACTTTCCCCAGCCTTGGCCCTCAGCCAGGGAGCTCAACGGGGTATCTTAGACTTCAGCAGGTGGCCAAGGGTGACACAGTAATTAATAGTGTGGGAAGTGCAGGACCTGCTGCAATAGGCTATCTCTTCTTCCTCCTCAGTCAAGTGTCAGAGACCCCAGAGAGAGAGAGAGATAAGTGAGCCACAGAGTAAACAGTGCCCTCTGTGTTATGTTGGTCAGGCAGGATGTGCCAGGACTAACAAAGCAAGGCTACTCTGAAGGGATGGGGTTCCTGAGTGCTGGCAGAAACTGAGTATGGACCTCTGCCATCTGCCCCCAGGATCATGACATCAGCCTTTGAGAGAGTGGTCAAGAGTATGATTCAGAAGGTGGACCACGGCAGAGGAGATCTCATCCCAGTGGACTATGTTCCAAATTCAATCAGCTTCAAGCCCTACTGCCTCCTGAGCAGGAAACACTCAAGCTCTTGGTTCTGGAAACCCCATTATACATTTGTCAACCTGTCAATCAAGGACATCCTGGAACCCAGTGCTCCAGAACCAGGTATCTCCTTTACCCACTCCCCTCCTTCCCATCCTGAGCCCCCAGATTGAATAGAAGAAGGCAGTGGGCAAAGCCCAGCCTTCCATCTTACTGGGCACCTTCAGTTATATTTCTCTGGCCCCATTTCCAGAGTGGGGAGTTCTTTAAAGGCCCATTGCTGCATATGAAAAACAAGGCAGTGGATATTGGAATAGGACTGTAGAGCTGGTCTCGTTTTAGAACCGGAGTGTATTGGCCACTTCCAAATCTCTGATGACATCGATGGAAACAAACAGGGCAGTGTGCCATGGTCGAACATGAGAGAATGGAGAATTTCTGGTGGGGCTGCAGCATCTGACAGTTCCAGTGCCTCCATGAGTATGTGTATACTGTGTGTGAATCCGAAGACCTGGGATATCATGAAGAGTGAAAGGTGAGTCCCTGAAGGGATGACAGCTCTCTTACCTTGAGCAGCCATGCTTCTTGGAAAGGTTGCTGGGTTCTGGGCATCAGATGGGCTCTGAGGCAGTATCTCTCAGCACTGAACAATGGAAGCCGAAGAGGAAGTGAGCAGTATAAACAATCTCAGGTGGGGAGGGATGTTAAACCTTGGTTACCAGGACTCTATCCTGAAGATCAGGATATCAAGGAAGGGCCCAAGTCCCTTGGAATCAGGCTGAGCTCCTGGTTGTTATGGAAAGAAGGTGATGTGGACTTGGAACATTGATGGATCATACACAATGGACTCCCTCCACAGACACAGGCGTCTACTTCTCTGTGTTTGAACTTGTCATTACCCTCACAAGCAACTAGACACTGTTGGGAATGCCCTGGAAAATTTCCCAAGCCTGGTATCCACAGACTCCTGGATTCCCTAGACTTTCCATCTCACCTGTCAACAGGATGGAAGAGAGGGAGGCTAGTCCATGGTGGGCAAGCCCTGGCAATCTTTCTGTAGGCACCTGCAGCAGCCCGAGAATAAAATCCTGCAACAGCTTCGGAGGCGTGGGGATGACCTGTTTGTCATCACTGAGGTGCTGCAGACAAAGGAGGAGGTGAAGATCACCCAGACCCACAGTCAGGAGTCTCAGGCAAGTTTACACTGGCTGGAGCCTCATGCTTCCAGGTATGTGATGCTACCCCTAACACCATCCTAGTCCTACTTAAGCACAGAGCAGGAATCTTAGAACCTGGGGCAACATCCCAGGCAGTGATGGAATACTCTTCTAAGACCCTTCCAGAATCAAGCCATAGCCCCACTTGCCCAGTTAGCTGGAACTGTTAAAGGCTGGATCAGCCATTACCAATGACAAGCCTGTCACCAACACTCCACTCGTAGCTATTCACTCCACACCCCTGAGCCCATATCCATCCTACAGGGTGATGGCAAGGGCCACCAAAGCCGGAAAACAATGGTGAACCTTCCTCCAGGCAGCGTCCTTGCATTCCGAGTGGCGAAACTGCTCATTGGCTCTACATGGGGTGAGTGGCAAGGGAATGTCTCTAGAGTCCAGACTCTGTGGCAGAGAATCACTTCAGCTAGCCATTGGATGCTGTGGGTATCTGGCTGCATGACCTCCCAGACAGGATGTTAAAGTGTGTCAGGACTGAGATGTGAGTCATAGGGACAGGGTCTCATGAGGTCCCAGGAGCCTTGGGGACAAGGGAGTTGGTGACCTGTTTGCTTCTGCCTATTGCCAGATATTCTTCTTGTCTCAGATGAGAAAAAGAGGACATTTGAGCGCTCCTCAGGTAAGGCCCAAGACACTCTGGCCCTACTTACCCCTTAGCTTTAAGGTGTTTTATGCTCAGGGCATGAAGTGGGCACACACCACACATACACATGTATATAAAATGGGTGAGGCTCAACTCAGGTGATGTTGCTGGGCTAGCTTAGCTTTCCATCTGCCGTGGGCTGCCATTAGTAGGAGGGATGGGTCTGGGAGGGTCCAGGTAAAGATCTCATCCCTCTTTGACATGAGACAATGGTCCCTGGGTCACTAATCAGAACAGCTCTTCCCCTTCCACCATCCGGATTTGTTGTCTAGTCAACAGAAGAGGAGTGGACCAGGAGCACCATAGATTTAATGTGTTCGCTGCACTACATCGCCACTACCCATTTGCGAGGATCACAGGCAGGACAGGTCAGTAACCCCTTGACCACCCTGGAAGTCCACGGCTTCTGCATCTGCTACCTAGACCTACCCCTTCTAACTAATGTTCCCCAAGGCCTCATGGGCATCAGGTGGTACTGCCCTTAGTCCCTCCAGATGGAATACCTAAGGAAGAAAATTTCAGGGAAGACTTCCAAAGTCTGTGTGCAGAGGTGAAGGCTGGCTCGTTACAACTGGGGACATTAAAAATGGAGTTAAAACAACAGCTACTAGAGGACATCGGGAGGATTCTACAGGACCAGCACAGCCTGGACGCCTTAGAGGCCTCAGTGAGTGAGAGTGCTGGTGGTGGACAGGGTCTGAACAAACCTGCTCAGCCTCACTTTCTCCATCCCTCCCTCAGCTATGGCAGGGACTGTGCAGTGGAGAGAAGGTAGAGCCTCTGGAGGGCCCAGCAGGCTGCATCCTTGAGTGTCTAGTGCTAGATTCTGGAGAGCTGGTGGTAAAATTCGCAGCCCCTATCTTCTATCTGTTGGCAGCACTGAATGGTGAGCAGCCCATGGAGGCATTAGTAGGGAACTGGAAGGGAGGACTAGGTTCTATATTGGGCATTCTGGAACCCTCTCTCAGCCCAGATCTCTCCCCAGTGCTGAGTGAAACTCAGAGGCAGCTGCTGGCTAAGGCTCTGGAGTCAACAGTACTGTCAAAGCAGCTGGAGTTGGTGAGTGGACCTGGCCTTTGGGGTGCAATGGGGCCCCTCGGACATCGAGGTTGACATGGGAAGGTGCTGCTTCCCTCAGTCTCAAACTACAGGCAGCATCTATAACATCTTACCCTCCTCTTTTGGTAGGTGGAGCACATCTTGGAACAGAGCACCCCATGGAAGGAGCAGAGTTCTGTGTCCCTGCCCTTTGGGCTCCTTGGGGACAGCTGGGATGAGGGGGCTCCCACCTGGATCTTGCTAGAAGAATGTGGCCTAAGGCTGCAGGTGGAACCCCCCCAGGTGCACTGGGAACCAACTTCTCAGGGCCCCACATGTGCTCTCTATGCCTCCCTGGAACTATTGTCTAGTCTAGGCCAGAAATCTCATTAGCCTGCAGGCCTCCCTTCCAGCAACATCTCCATGTCCTACCCTCCAGCCAGGGCAGAATCTTGCCAAGCCCAGCCTCTAGGAAAGCCAAGTACCGAACTCAGTCACAGGGTTAGAATGCAATGAAACACAGGAGTTGGAAAAATTCAATAAATGTACAAACTAAAGCTAGTGCTGCATTCTGAGGGATAATGGATCATCAGTAGGAAATGGGAAGGGTGGGTTTGCCCACACAATATAAAGATGTATATGATGTCTATCACCTCACTCCTGTGACCTACAGACAGGCAGATTCTGGGAATCAACAAGTCTCATGGCACAGGGGAGTTCCTGGGCTCTGTGTCTAGGGGGAAGATGTTTCTAACTGATGTGGCCAAGGGGTTCTGATCACCCCTTGGAGCTTGCACAGCTAGGACAAGTGTTTGGAACTTGGTGGGGACCACACCACCTACTTAGTGCAGCTCAGCCTTAGCTTGCTGAGAGGTGGAAGTAGCAACAGCTTCTTCCTGATAGGTGCTTTCTTTCTCAGTGATGCAAACACAGGCCAGATTAGACTAGATTAAAAGTAGATATGGCATATTTATTAGGAGGCAGCTCTCAGGTGGATTCACTGATGTCACACGTGGAGGTCAGGGAAGTTGCACATCCAGGGTAAAGCAAGAAGGTTTTATGGTTCTAGGAAGTGGAGTGATGACACGTGATCTAGGAGCTGGGACTGTGTCCATCCATGGTCAAAAACTGAGCCCCTGGCAGGAAACTCTGAGATGAGAAGTGATGACAAGTTACTCCAGAGTTTTCTCTGAGCAGGTCGAGTTGGGGGAAGGAGAAGCAGTTGGGGTTTCCCAGCTTGTTCAGGAAGATGAGCAAGGGTTCCATCCTAACATGCCAACCTCTTTAGGTCCAGGGCCTCCCATTCAGATCTGGCTACTTCCTGCTGAAGAGGAATGGCATGAGGTGGGAGGGTGAGGAGTTGCTGGGTTTGAGCTCGAGAGGTATGGGTGCAGAAGGAATTGGTTGCCTGTCATACTGGAGACTTCAAAAATCCCATTGGTGGAAGTACAGAGGAAAGCATGCGGCTAGAAGAAAAATAGATTAGTATCTTCTGCCCTGTGAATGGGCTAGCCTTGTGTGAAGAGCAAAGGCTTCCACAAATAGTGGAATGCAGATGTTCCTGGTATTATGGGCAGAGTTCTTTTTTCATTTTTAAAAACTTATTTATTTTATGTGTATGAGTAGACTATCACTATCTTCAGACACACCAGAAAAAGGCATCAGATCTCATCACAGATGGTTGTGAGCCACCATGTGGTTGCTAGGAATTGAACTCAGGACATCTGGAAGAGCAGACAGTGCTCTTAACGGCTGAGCCATCTCTCCAGCTCATGGGTAGAGTTCTTTACACAATTTGTGGAGTGACTCAGGCTGGGTCTCTATCAGGCTTGTTGTTTCCCCAGGGAACATGCAGGTCTCACACTTATCAGTCGTGAGGAGATTAAGATCCTCTACTTTTGTAGGGCCACTGAAGCTTGTGAGTTTACATAAAGAGATACCTTAGCATTATCATTTGTACTGGCTGGTTTTATATGTCAGACTGACACTAGCTGGAGTTACCACAGAGAAAGGAGCCTCCCTTGAGGAATTGCCTCCATGAGATCCAGCTATGAGGCATTTTCTCAACTAGTGATCTATTCTATTGTGGGTGGTGTCATTCCTGGGCTGGTAAGAAAGCAAGATGACCAAACCAGTAAGTAGCACCCCTCCATGGCCTCTGCAGCAGCTCCTACCTCTAAGTTCCTTCCCCGTGTGAGTTCCTATCCTGACTTCCTTTGGTGACCAACAACAATGTGGAAGTGTGAGCTGAATAAACCCTTTCCTCCCCAACTTGCTTCTTGGTCAGGATGGTTTGTACAGGAATAGAACCCTGACTGAGACACCATTGTTTGAAATCTATACTGAAACTCACATTGTAGAAAAGACAGTAGACCCATACCTTTGTGTCATTGTAGAGGCTTGGCAAATGATTTTGGGTTAAAAGCATAGAGAATCTTTAAGGTGAACTCAGGGAAGACAAACCTTCTGTGAGACAGAAGGGGCAAGAGCTCCCTTGATCCTGATTTGCAGTATGATTAAAGATTGTGAAAGAGGGATTTCTTTCCTCTATCCAGAAGGCTGGATGCATATGGATTAGACAGACCTTTTTAATAAGAAACATTTTTAAGTCTATATTTAGAAAATAACAAGAGGAAATTTAAAATCTTGAGCTTGTGACTACAATAATAGTGGATCAACAGTGGAAGGCTTTAATCAGAGTTAGACTAATAGTGGATCAGAACTCTAGTGGTTAATAGTTAAAATTTGAACTTTTGAAGCTTAATACAGCAGTAACATAGTGAGGGATCAGAATCAGAAGCACTTTCCATTTTTCCAGTACACCTTAAATCAGTTTTTGTATCGCCTAAGTTTTTTTACACCCTCCGTTCTTCATACCTTACATTTACCAATCTCAAAACACCTTCCTAGACCCTCAAATATTTTCTTAGATCCTTAAACACTTTCTGAAATGCTTTTGTATCCTCAGGCCTTACATAAACTTAAAACTTTATATTTTTGCCTACCCAATTATTTGACATGAGACGTAGGTGGTTGATCATTGACAGCAGTCGTTGTAAAGTGAGTTTCTTTAGATAAAGGAATTGTAAAAAGTTATATAGAAATCTTTCTTAAGTCTGGTAATAAGGTAAAATGAGTCTTGACCCAGCAGTGGCAGCTTTAGTAGAGTGAGGGTTGAGGCCTGATCTTTACCCATGAAGAGCACTGAGAAGGCAGCTGACGCCTCGGTTCTTGTTATTAAACTGATCCTCAAACCATGAGACCAAAGAAGTACTTATTGTCCATTTACATTTCTTTGTTTAAGAAATATTTAGTTCAGGCAGAGGCAGGCGGATTTCTGAGTTTGAGGCCAGCCTGGTTTACAGAGTGAGTTCAAGGACAGCCAGGGCTACACAGAGAAACCTTGTCTTGAAAAACCAAAAAAAAAAAAAAATTTAGTTCAGTACCTCATTCATTCATTATTTTTTCTTTATGTGTATGACATGTGTGCAGGGTCCAAAGTGTTGGATCCTCTGGAGCTAGAGTTATAGGTGGATGTAAGCCTCCTGATGTAGGTGCTGGGAGCTGAACTCTGGTCCTCTGGAAGAGCAGGAAGAGCTCTTTACCTCTTCCTGTCTCTCCATCATCTCTCCATCCCTCTATCATTTCTCCATCTCTGCAACATCCCTCCATCTCTTCTTCATCACTCCACCATGTCTTGATCTCTCCATTCCTCCATCATCTCCCATCTCCCCATCAGCTCTCCATCCCCATTGATTGGTTGATTTGATATTTTGTAGCATAAAATTCGCAGCTCTTTGATCTGCTACCTGATGTGTAGTAGGTAAATACATTTTCCCATTGTGTAAATCGTGTCTCCACTCTTGTGAGTCTATCTTTGCTATAGAGTAAGAAGCATTTTAATTGTATGTAATTTGTCTAGTCTTAGGGTTGACCCCTGTGCTGTGGGAGTCCTGTCAGAAAATCCTTGTCTCTGTGTCTTGATGTGTCTTTGTCTCAGATTTTCAAAGCTTCAAGCCTTACACTGTGGTCTTTGATTCATTTTAAAGGTGTTTTTGTTAAAGGGGCTGTTCCCCCCCCCCCCGACAACCCTCAGTATATGTTTCTGGAAGGTTTATCACAAATGAGGTGTATGTCATTGTGTGTGTACGGCTGGGTCCTCCTTCCACACCATTGGTCTATGGGTCAGTTACAGTGGCTCAGAACTGAAGCTGAGGATCCAGTCCTGCCATTCACCCAGCACTGCTAAGAATTCCTGAAGCTAGGGCTGGAGAGAAGGCCCTGGAGGTTAAGAGCACTGACTGCTCTTCCAGAGGTCCTGGTTCAATTCCCAGCAACTACAATGTGGCTCACAACCATCTGTAATGGGATTGGATGCCTTCTTCTCGTGTGTCTGAAGAGAGCTACAGTGTATTCATACATATAAAATAAAGAAATAAATCTTTAAAAAAATTCCTCGAGATATTTGGGCGTTTTATGTGTTTACATGTGAATTTTTGAATTACTATTTCTAATAGAATGTCACTATATATTTGATGGAAATTGTGTTGACTCTATACATTGCTTTCAGCAATGCAGCCTTTTCCATTTGCTGATTCAGCCCACCCATGAGCACAGGAGACGTTTTGACCTTCTAGTGTTTTCTTCACCAAGATACTTTTTGGTTTCATCCTCTACTTGAGAGGGATGAATTGGGAGGAGTGGGTGGCACCAATACCGGACAGACCATGCTTCACAGGCTTGTAGGTGATGGAGAACTCACCCAGGTAGTGTCCGAACATCTCTGGTTTGATTTCCACCTGGTTGAAGGTCTTGCCATTGTACATGCCCACCATGCTGCTGACCATCTCAGACAGAATGATCATGTCCCTAGGTGGGCCTTCACCACCTTGGGCTTCACCATGGGTGGTGCCTCCTTCTTGGCCTTTCTCAACAGCTTGAGCAGTGAGTGCTGCTTCTGCCTCTGTTGTGTGCTATACAACTGCATCAGTGGCTCACAAGACATGTTCAGCAGCTGGTCGAGGTCTATGCCATGATAGGTTAACTTACACTTGAAAAAGGTCTGCTTCTTCTTCTGCTCCACTTCAGCCATCTTGGCGGATGCTTGGAAAAGGATGTTTTGTGTTTCTTAAGTTTTAAAATTATACACATTCTGTGTGTGCACATGCACACACATGTACCTGTAACCAAGAGATTCTGGTAACTTGTGCTTTCAATTTCACTTAATTCTAGAAACTCTCTCATTTCTTCCCTGATTTCTTTGGGGACACACTAGTCATTGAAAGGTGTGTTGTTAGCTCTGCATGTATTTATGTAGTTTCTGTAGTTTTCACATTACTGATTTCTAGTTAACTATACTATCATCTGATACGATACAAGAGATTATTTTGATT